CGTCGCCCGCCACCATGGGGCTCTTGCCCAAGCCCGGCGCGCGCCAGGGCAGCGACGCCTCCTCGGGCCGAGCCCGCCGCTGTCCCCGCTCAATTTTCAGCAACATTAAGGTGAGCGGAGAACCCGGGACCGTCTGCGGGGCCCGGCGTCGGTCCTGCGGGAGCCCAGGAGGCGCCGGGGGCTCCCTCCTGCGCCGTCGGGGCCGCGCTCCGAACGCATCCCCGGGCCTGGCACGGCGGGCGAGGGGACGCCTGCACAGGCGAGCGCGTGCAGGGCGCGCGTGTGTGTGTGTGCGCGCGTGTGTGTCGCGCGCGCTCACACGCCCTCGTCAGGGGAAGAAACAGGACAATGAAAGTACCTGCTTACTGGGCCCCCTCTACTCAGACAGTCCTGGGGCTAGCCGAGGAGATTGTCCGGTTCTTTGAAAAAGAACATCTCTCGGGGCAAGTTTTCGGTCTCTGGCGGGCAGTTACTTCGTTAAGGGGGTGGGCTTGGAGGTGCCCGGGTCTGATGCCTTGTCGGGGACAGGCTGTTGTCCCTCTGAGATGGAGATGAGAGCCCGGCTCATCCTGGGGTGGGTGGTGGAAGAGAATTCTCCTTCCCCAGGCTTTCATCTTCCCCGAGAGCAGCAGCGGGGACTCTGCTACCTCGCTGCTGCCGCCCGCAATGTTCAGAATTCCCCCGAGGCTGGCGACCGACCTTGCAAGCTTGGACCAGTTTCCTGGTCTGGAACTGGCCCCAGGAAAGCAGGGGCCCTCACAGTCTGTTCGGTAACATCTATGCAGGTGCCTCTCGCCTGGCAAGTTATGGGGAGTGAGTGAAGAGAAGATGGGGTGTAGGCAGCTGTATGGTGAGGACTTTCTTCCCCAGACGGTCAGGAAAGCTTTCCACTGCCTCACAGCTCTAGGAGGACCTGGAATGGCTGAATCTACACGCAGGCTCTTTTGCCCATTCTGGCAAGGCAGAAGCAACTGAGGAATGCACCTCCTGGCGGGGCAAAACTGCTGTGGTGAGGATTGCCGAGCCCACATCAGGGTTCCTTGGGGTAAGGGTGGGGATTGTTGGTTCAGAGAGGTTGTTTGTGACAAGCATACCATCAGATGGGGCTAGGTAAAGCCTCCAACTGGTGCAATTAAAGGGAACCCAGATCACACAAAAGGAGGGTGGGGGTCTCTGTGGGCTGGTTATGTGAGTGTCCAACAGAAAGGGATCTGGAGGTCACAGTGGATCCTACTGTATATACTTACCATGTTGTTAGCGGTGGAGCTGGGATCCCCACCCCTGCTTCTACTCTCTCCCCACACCACAGTAAAGAAAGGCTGAATTGATTTCACGGTTGGATATATATGACACAGAAATTTTTAGATAGTTTAAGATAATCCTCCAATTTCCTCACCTGTGGCCAGACCTGGATGAGGACACCAGGTGCAGTTTTGTTCTCAACATTTAGAAGAGTGTTGGAGAAGTTTCTGCAGAGAACTGTGGAAAATTTGGTGTTTATAACTTAGGAATTGGGAAGGAAGGGTGGGGTCAATGGTTGGGTGGTCTGAGAAGAGAGAGGCTCGGGAGGGAGCCAGAGTGAGGCAGCTCCCCCTGTTTTCACCACGAAGGGCAGGAGGGAGGCCTGTCCCAGCATGGAGTTCTGATGGTGAGGGTAACCCCCAATGAGATTGATCCATTTAGACCCACTCTGAGTCCCTAAAATAAATGAGTTTATGATAGCAGTTTCTTTAAAGATCTATAAAAATAAGATAATTTATCACATGCTAATGATTTAGCCACATGTGCCTGAGGCCTGGGCCCAGGCCAATTGGCCTCGTAAAGGCTCCTAGTAGTTAAGAGTTTTCCTTAATTATAAAAATCAAATTTGCTTAATCATTGCCTCTGTTGATCCACAGTAATTCTAAGACCAGAGTTTGGGGAGATTTCCACTGAGTTTCACTTATCAGCCTGAAACCAGGTACAAGGTTGTATATCTCAAGGCAAATGAGAGCCTGGAATTCCGTTAGCTAAACTCACTTAAGCCTTTGCTTCCAGAAGGTGGTACTGGCTGTCTGGGGGCTTTGCTGTTTGATGGGAGATTTCTTTCTCTCAATGAGAGGCTGAGTGACTGCCCTGTACCCTCTCAGTGGAAGATAGACTGCAGATGTCCTGTGTCATGTGTGACATGCAGGGGAACAGGGGACACCCAACCTGAGGACCCATCATTTTTCTAGGTTTCTTGTTGCTGAGACAGATTAACCAATTGGCTTTATGACATTCCTGCAAAACTCCCCATACCATATGGTTTAGGGGAAGGGGATGATGGAAGGAGACTCAGATCCAAGTCCGATTCTAGCTTCTTACTAACTACGTGACATGGGGAAGCACTCCTCAGCTTTCCTGGGCCTCAGAGTCCTTTTGTGAAAAAACAGGGCAATATGAACAATTCCCACCTCGTGGGGCTCCATGAGAATTATGTGGGATGAGGCAGAGGAAAAGGGCTTTGTAAACCATGCTGGGCTCTCTGGGATTGGCATCCATGTGAGGTCAGTGCTTGCCTCAACAAACAGGACTGCACGTTCAAACATCATTTAGGATCTATTGTTCCACCAATTATGCCCCATTCCATGAGACATAGTTAATAGTTAAGAGAAACCACAGTTAATAATAATAAAGTCCAAAATAATAGTAATAGTAGCTAACAGTCATGGAGCTGTCTGAATGTACCAAGAACTATGGAAATATTTTACCCATGTTTAATCGTCATTACAGCTCTACCAAGTGGGTACTATTACTGGCCTCATTAACGATGAGGAAACAAGGCTTCGTGAAGCTGGTCCCTTGTGCGTGGACACATAACCAGAAAGGAGTGGAGGGTAGAGGAACTGGGTATGTGAGACTCCAGAGTCGGAGACCCTAACCGCTGTGCAACCCGGCCCTCACCATCACAAGGTGCTGTTCAGCTCTGGTTCAGCACGTGGGGATACCATGGGTGTGCTTTTTCCAAGTGGTCAGGGCTTTCTCCAGGCCCTGGTGACACACACATCCCCAGCCGTGATCGGGGGGCTGCCGTGGCTGCAGCGTGGATGCTCTGGATGGCCAACAGGCTCACACCTTCTCATTCCTCATAACTCGCATCTGAAGAGCCTGGCAGGTCTCACTCTCGCTGAGTTTTTTGTATCCTCTGGCAGGAGTAAATACAACCGTATTTAGTCTAGAGACAGTCTCTGCTGCCTCTGGTTTACAGGATTCTTAAGAATTAGAGGATCTGCTCACCCATCCTTGTGAGAGGGAGCAGTTTGTCATCCAGAACTCTAAGACTCTAAATTAAAACCAGGTTCATTCAACGATTACAGGGGCTGGGTTGGGGGAGGTAGGAGGGAGCCTTTGTGGCTAACTTTTCCTGCCAGCTTCAAAAGACATCTGTTTTTCCTAAAATGAAACTTTCGGGGTCAAACTGAGGTTATCTCATAGAAGGAAGGGTCGATTGGTAACTGCTGCCCAAATTTCAGCACACCCAGGGCCCCAGTGTAGTGAACTCATGTATATCCTGTCAGTGGGGGAACATTCCAGTGGGGTGGACGGCTGGGGAAAAACAGTGGGAAGAAAGGGATAGACAAACCTCACAGCTTAGCCTGAGTGACCCGGTGACCTTTGACCTGGGAGGGAGGCCCAAAAATGAGGGAGAGGTACTTTGTCCTGGCCTGTGTCCACAACTCCCTGAGGCCTCTGACCGCCGGCCGTGGCGGGGCGCCTTGGGTTAACATCTCAGTTCCCAGGGGAAAGGGCTAAATCCCAGCAACCTGCAATTCCTGCTCCGGAAAACACTCGATCCACGTCCCTGGGCCAAAGAATTCGTGAATCTGACCCCGTGAATGAAGACATGCCCACTCCTCCCCTGGGGTGCTGTTTCTCTGACATTGTGGACAGCATTTATTCTGTTCTTGGGGCATCTGTCCCAAAAGGCCAGCCTTGCCCTGCTTGTTGGGGTGGGGGTAGGGGGACAATGGGAACAAGTGGGGTGGGGTGGGGGTCACAGGTCACTCAGACCCTCTCCTCATGTGATGACGCTAAAGCCCTTCTTGGCTTTCGTTTTCTCTCCTGGTGATCAATTTGTGATCTATGCAGCCACAGAACCAACGGAAGAGCGGTTTATGTCTCACAATATAGATAGCTCATTTCATCTCTTTCTGATCTGTTCTCTTTTGTCTGTGACAGTGACTACTTTTTTCCCCTTCTGGGAGACCCAGACATGGTATTGGGATGTTGGGATGGTGGCGTGGCTTCCCCTCACCTTCTTTTGCTCTGCTTGTGGAATAGGTCATGGTCCATGCAGAGGAATGTGGATGGCCCCCCAGTCCAGACCTTACCACTCCTTGGTCTCCCGCTTCCCACCCCTGCTTGGTTTTATCCTGTCCCGTGGTTTTAACCATCTCCAGCTGTTCGTTACTTCACCCAGTTTCTGCCTGTGGAGGCACTGGCCTGTAGAGAGCCCCAGTTACATGACAAAGCTGGAGAGCCAGCAATGGTGGAGCTGAGAAGCCAGGGGTGCCTGTGGGCAAATGAGCCATCAGAGGACCTTGTGTGGGGCTGGGCTGGTTTGGCCCCCATTCTGCATCGTAGGTTCACTGACATGTACTTGGGCATTGCACCCTCAGTGTCTGTTGAGGAAGGACATGAGGAAATAGCTGTGTGAATTTATACTTGTGTATACCCCACAGGACCAGCACTGATGGGTTGTCACTACGGTACTTGGGGGCTCCCTTACAAGGGAGGGGCTATGGGAGAAAGTCAGCTGAGTTCTTAGTACCAGACAAAGCGTGATTTATTTTGAGCTTTTAAACAACTTTTTATTTTGAAACAATTATAGATTCATAAGAAAAATAGTACTGAGAGGTCCTGTATACCCTTCACCCTGTTTTCCCCAATGGTTCCATCTTAGGTAACTAAAATATGATACCAAAAGCAGGAAACTGGCATTGCTATCATGTGTGTATACAGTCCATGCCATTGTATCACATGTATAAATTCGTGGAACCACCACCCCACCACTTCAAGACACAGAACTGTTCCATCCCCACAAAGATCCCTGTTGTGCTCCTTGACAGTCACACCACCCCCTTCCGAC